GGGTGTCATGGCTTGAGATGAAGCTGTGAGACAGAGCGGGGCCTCATTGGTGAGGACAAGGAACTTGCTCTTTTCTCTGTAGGCAATGGGAGACATTTGGGGGTTTCAGGCGAAGGTTGGTGATAGTCAGATTTCCATTTTAGAATGTCACTCTGACAGCAACACGGAGGGTGGCTTGCTCAGAGCCAAGACCCAGAAGCAGGGAGACTAGTGAGAAACCACTGCAGTAATCCAGATGGAAATGGGGTATAAGCAGTTACGTGCTAGAGCGCTAGAGATACTAATGGAGACTGGTCTGCATGCGCAGGTGGGGAGATGAAGGAGAGAGTATGAAATAGTTGTAAAGGATATAGTGGGGAAGCAGAGGATGCGAAAAATGACAAACAGAGTCAAAGGACTTGCTCTTTCATGAAAGGGAAGTCCCTAGGTCAGCTAAGACTCCTGCTTGAGAAGTCGTCGCTGAGATGAGGAATACAGAAGGAACAGAGGTGAGAGTTGGGGAGGAGGGATGGCCGAGATGATGACGACAAGGGTTGAAATTGAGGAACTGGATATTAACAGTTGGAAGTTGGGGATCTGGAGTTTATAGGAGAAATCGAGGCTGAAAATAGAGATCTGCAAGTTATCACATATGCAGGTTGTATCGTTGATGAGAGTAAAGGAAATCATGAATCATGTAGGCTAAATGTCTGGAATGAGAAGAGGACCCAAGGATCTGTGGTTTTGTCTTGATTAAGGGAAGGAGCAGTCTGGGAAGCAGCAGACTAGTTAGGTGAGAAGCTCAGCTTGGTCCTCAGCAGTACGAACAAGCAAGTGTCAGGAACCCTAGGGTATCCTACTCGAGCTTGCCATACTGAGACTCGTATCTAATTCTGTACAGAGGATGATTGCACATCTTACCTCCTGTCTTGTTAGGAGTGACTCAGGACCTAACCTCATCACTATGGAAGGGGACTCAATTAATCAAAGAATTCTGTAACAGCCATGTAGATAGGGCCAAGTTCAGGGACCAAGTTCAGGGTCCTCCTCTGTCAGAACATGATGTGAACATGCTGACGCTGATGCCTGGTACATATGTTAATGGCTGGTTCTTTTTCAAGATTTAATTCAATAAAGAGTTTCCTCAGGGAAAATATGAATACCACACAAATAAGAAAGTACCATTTTCCCACTATTGCCCGTTCCTACACCAGCACTCCCCAGTCTGTGTGTCTCAAAGCCAAGACACCACCTTTCCTCACCCCTTAGATCCTGTTAGTCCTGAGCTTCATCAGTTCTGGTGGTTATATTTGTCCTCAGCTTCCATTCTGATTGAAACAGCCTAAGCTAGGGTGAGCTTGTTAGTCCATCCATCCCCACCACATCTAGGGTGAATGTAGCACCCTCTTAAGACACTTAATGATCTTTTCATCCAGAGGTCAGCTACCCATGACTATGTGCTAAATCGGGCCCACCACCTGTGTTTGTAAATAAAGGTTTATTAGAACACAGCTGACATATTCATTTAGATATTGTCCAAGGCTGTTTTGCACTGCAATGGCAGCATGGAAAAGTTGAAGTAGAGACTGTATTTCCTGCAAAACCTAAAATGTTTACTATTTGGCCCTTTAAAGGAAAAGTATCCCAACCCCTATGAATCCATCCTATATACCAGTGCAAGAGGAATGTTCCTTAAATGCTATTTCCCTATATCACTTTCTTCTTAGAACCCTACAATGACATTACCCTGAAACCCCAGCTTCTTGGCCTGACATCCAAGGCCCTCGATGATCTAGTCATAGCCAATCTTTGGAATCATTGATCTCTACTCCTAAAGGCAAGCCCTGCACCCCAGTGTATTTCCCTGTTCATTGTCCCTGGAACATGAAGTACATTTCTGCCCTTGCTCACACAGTTCCCTTCGCCTGGAGTGCCCTGCTCATTAGCTTGTATCTACCTAATTCCCACCCATTCTTAAAGAACTAACTTAAACCTGCACCGTTCATGATCGTGTCTGTTCCCAGTGACCATCAATGAGTCTACTGCTCGAGCATGTGAAGATTCACTGCTGAACCATCTGGTAGTATTTCTTCTGTTCAAGGCATGGTTCACCAATTTGATGATGGGCAACTCTGGAGTGAGGACTTTCTCTATGAACAAAGGCACAGAGGTGGGGTAGCCTAGGAAAGGTTTGCAAATGACCAGAAGTGTGATTAGAACACTGTCTTAGTCCTTTCAGGCTTCTATAACAAAATACCATAGACTGGGTGGCTTGTACGCAACAGGCATTTATTTCTCACAGCTCTGGAGGCTGGGAAGTCCAAGACCAAAGTGCCAGTAGATTCGGTGTCTGGTTGGGGCTGGCTTCCTGGTTCACAGATGGTGTCTTCTTGCTGTGTCTTCACATGGAGCAAGGGGTGACGGAGCTGTCCGTGGTCTCTTTTATAAGGACACTAATCCCAGTCATGAGGACTCCATGCTCATGACCTGATCACCTCCCAGAGGCCCCGCTTCCTAATACCATCACACCGGGTTTTAGGTTTCAACATACGAATTTTGGGGAGGATACAAATATTTATAGCAAACACAAGCATGCAATTAACATTTATGGAATTGTTGAGTCATCAGCATCTTGTATTCTTGACATATCTTGGTTCTGTATTTAAATGTAGGAACATTCATATCTTGATAGTCCATGGAAATGAATGATAAAGTCTAGTAAATCTACTAGAGAAATCCTAGACTGTAGAGACAATGGCTGGTTCTGGAGGTCCTTGCTTTTGCATGTGGTAACTGCGTTGCCGAACAGACAGACTTTCCTCACTGGGCCTCACTTTTCCCATCCACTGTCACACATTGTATATTCTTGGATGTTCTATGGGATTAAACAGCGTCAATCATGCGCCGATTGGCGTTCTTTGATAAATGGTAAGTTTCTAAAATATTCTCGGGCTTTACTTTGGCAAGGAGGTTATGTCCCTGGACTTGGATATTATGTCCCAGCAATACTGAAAGATATTTCTTAAGGTCTACGCATTGCACAGAGAACTTGGTTATAATACAAATTATTGCTATGTGGATTTGAATAACAGTGGTGTGAGCACATCCTCAGAAACATAGCAGCTACATACAAGAAAAGCTTCTGTTAACACAGAGGATAGCAGACAGCCTTCTATGTCATTGTCTTCTCTAGGATTTGGCTGTTGTGTTGTAAAATGACATTATGTCTGGTCTAACTAGTTTCTCCCTGCGTATGTGAGTAAAGCAAAATAATTCCGTGCAGTAGATGTCTCAGTAAACCCAGCCCCGTGTACTTTGGATGGAAAACATTGAACGAGTAAGCTATTATAAGGGAAAGCCTTTCTGTTCTTAAATTAATCCCATTCATATAATGTTTATTTTTAAATACATTTTATTTTTCAGTTACAGTTGACATACACTATTATATTAATTTCATGTGTATCACATAGTAATTAGACCTTTATATAAGTTGTGAAGGGATCACTGCGATATGTCTGGTACCCATCTGACACCATACATAGTTGTTACAATATTATTGGCTATATTCCCTGTGCTATAGTTTACCTGACTGTTTTCTTAGCTGGCAATGTGCACATCTTAATCCCTGTCCCCTTTTCACCCACTCCTCCCAGCCCCCCTCCCACCTGGCAACCATCCATTTGTTCTCTGGGTCTGTGAGTTTGTTTCTGTTTTGTTTGTCCAGTTATTTTGTTTTTCAGATACATATCAGTGAAATCATATGGTATTTGTCTTTGTCTGACTTATTTTAATTAGAGTAATACCCCCTAGGTCCGTCCACATTGTCACAAATGGCAGGATTTCATTCTTTTTTATGTCTGAGTGATATTCCATTGTATGTATGTACTACTATGTCTTCGTTATCCATTTGTATATCATTGGATACTTAGGTTGCTTCAATATCTTGGCTACTGTAAATAATGCTGCAATGAACACAGGGATGCCTGTGTCTTTTTGAATTCGTGTTTTGGGTTTCTTTAGATAAATACCCAGTAATATGATGTTTATTGGTTACATTTGCAAAGTATGGAGAAGAAAAGTATGAAGTATGCAGTCCAGTGGAAAGGTTATGCTGTGACTATAAGGGAAACACATCCCTTTAAGACCAATTTCTAGGCATTACCTAGAGGAAGTATGTGGCAGTAAGAATAATAGCAAGGAACATTTATTGAGTGTTTACTATGTTCCAGGCATTGTTCTAGATCCTTTACATGTATTATCTCATTTAATACATGCCCCAACAATATGGTTTAGTTACAGTTACTATCTCCTTTCTATTCAAGGGAACACTTAGACCAGAAGGTAAAAGAACTTACCAGAGGTCACACAGGTAGCAGGTGGTAGAACTGGGAGTTGTGTGCAGGCAGGCCAGCCCCAGACTTTGTTTATCAGAACGTCAGCGAGCCCCGCCCACACGCAGTGGCCCTCCACAAGGCTAGTTTAAGAAAGATCACCCATCTAGTTTGCATCACTTGGTATGTCCAGCTGGATGGTTTGTCCTCACGAATTTGAAATTACCTTGTATTATTTGTGTATATGATTTTGAGAAAAGAAATCTACCCTAGAAGTCCCACTGTTTTATTCTGTCATAGTTGCAGTTTATAACAGCCTCTGTGTTTTCGATTGAGACATTTTTATTCTTTGTCTCCAAATTAACACTGCACAGAACATGACTCTGTGTGTGTGTGTATGTGTGTGTGTGTGTGTGTGTGTGTGTAGAAACCGCCTTTTCTTCTGGATTAAATTGTTGCAGATCAGCTGAGGGAGGAGAATTGCTCCCACTCACTGAGCCCACAGCAGACATGTTAGGAGAATGCTGCTGTTTGCGACACACCCAAAGACGGAGGGGCAGGTGACACAGCGTGTGTGCCCAGCATCTCTGCAAGTGTCTATACAGATGTGTGCTGCTGCTGCTTCCTGCCTTAAAATTCCTGGAGCCAACACCCACCCCCTCTTACAGCCTCTCTCTCTTTATTTTCAAGGAAAAAAGAAAGAGGCAGACTGAAATAGAAGGCAAGCGGCAGGAGCTTGACGAGCAGATACTTCTGCTGCAGCACTGCAAGGTAAGCAGCCGGTGCACAAGCCCCTGCCATGATTACATGCAGCTCACCCCGCGGAGCCGGGCAGAGCCTGCCCTGGCGTGAAGGCACCGCCACTGAACTAGCTCCTTTGCATTCAGCCAGGAAACCATCGCTGGGCTTGTCTCGTGCATGTCTCAAATTCAGGGCATTGTTACAGCATTCCAGTTTCTGCAAGCATGATGAGACTGTAGTGTGTGTGGACAGGTTTGGGGGGGTGCATGTGAAATGCAGTGGTTATATATAGAAATTGGAAGAGAATTTCCACATGGTGGGTGAGGGAGTGTTCCGGGGCTGTGTCTCCAGTGCACAGGTGCCGTGTGTGTTTCTTCCGAGGTTCCCATAGATATAGTTAACGTAATGCTCTTCTTTTAAATTAAAAAAATTCAGTAACTTTCCTTCTTGCTATGGGGAAATAGGAGATGAAAGCAGTGTGATGAGCAGCCCTGTGAATTTCTGATGATTCATTTTTTTAATCTCCTCTAACGATTTTGAAAGTGTTCTATTAGAACAAGCAGTGGGGCAAAAGACAGCATTTAAATGATTTGACTTGGTTGGGTCTCCATTGCAGGGAGTTAAAGACGGGGGGTGGGGTGGGGAGGAGCACGAGCTGTTTATATATTTATTTTTTCTGCAAACATCATGCACTTAAGCATCGTAATTGATTGCAGCCCAGGAGAAAGCTCTGTCACTGTCACAGGGCTCCACCGGTTGCAGAAGGTTGCTCTCTGCAGGCTGGGAATAATGCGAGCACCCTCCGGCGCTGCTGGGCTTCCGGAGCCAGACCCGCTGCTCACCTCAGCGGGTGACATGGCACGTGCAGAACGGCGTGGCTCGGAGGGCTGCTTGGGAAGGTGGGGCCGCCTTGCAGGGTGAAGCTAGCTCTGGGTTATACGAATTTTTTTTTTTTCTTAAACAAGGTGGACCTTGATGGTGGCATTGCCCATTCTTCTCTGGAAGACAGAGTGGTGCTAAATGAATCCTCAAAATGTAAATCAGCAAGCTGGCTGCTGATTTCAAATAGCAACATGACCTAAATCTGCTTAGCAGATTCACCAGTTGCCGCTAACTTTAACCAGAGGAATGTGTTTAAAGGGAGGAAAAGCGGCGTGATACTGAGAATATTGCCCTTTTCTCTCTGCTCATCCTGTAAATCCATTTATGGAGCTTTTGTGGGAGCTTACAATATGTCCTACGTGTCGTTGCTCTTTCCTGAGAACATCCTTCAGGAGGATTGAGGGCTAAAGTTAGTATCCTCTCCTGACAGAGAGGGGAGCTGAGCAACACTTAATAGAAGCCGGTGAATTGTTCAAGGTCAACCTGGACAGAGCTGTGTCCCTGGCTCAGAGTACAGTCAGCTCCTTATAAAAGAGCACAGTGTGCTAAAATCTCAGTGAATTCTTGGTTACAGGTGAACTGGCTAATATGGGGACTGAAACAGGAGAGGCTGTTTTTGACTAGACAGCCTCTCTCCTTTTTAAGGTCAATGTGATTCTTTGCTTTTGCATTCTTTGAATTAAATCAGGCAATGAGCCTATGCGAGATCATATTTCTTTTGTCCAACTCATCATTATCAGTGCCAAATAAGTTACCAAGGACTCATTCATTACTAATGTCCAGAACATTGTTACAACATTCTGTTCACATTCCATCTACCCATTTCTCATCCATCCCTTCATCTCTACCTCCCTCCTTCCATGTATCCATCCACCCATGTTTCTATTCATCCACCCACCCATCCATCCATCCACCCACCCATCCACCCATTCATCCATCTAATCAACAGAAACAACAATAAAAATGACTTACTCTTACATGGGTCGGAAGTGGTGAGATTCCTTCTAGACTTGGAAACCAGGGGATTGATAGTTCTTAATGGTCATCCTGGTAAAATTCTCTGGCTATGTAAAGAAACACCCAGTACTTTTACCAAGTTAATCCTGCCATAATCTCTGGAGAAAGGAGTGGAAATGATGGTAGTTTAATAAGTGGGCACCAGTGCATTGCAGTTTTCTCTCTGGGGAAGACCTGTGTACACAGAATGAGGGTGAATCACTAGCCTGGCACAATGAGAAAGGAAAGCCCAGAGGTCCCACAGATGGGCTACCCTAGAGAGAGACCCCAGCTCTGGGAGGTGCCAGTTTCTATACATTGACGAGGTAGCGTCTGCTGATAGGTGAGGAGAGTCATGGGCCTCCCCATGACTCAGGGGAAACTTCCCTCATGACTCTACCTCTTTGTTCTGACTCCAACCTCCCCCAAGTAAGTGAGTTATTTTAATCTAAGGTGGTGCCTGACAGAGATGTGATCACTTCAGACACCAGAAAGGAATATGTTCTACTTCAAATCAGTTAACTGTTGACTGAACTTGAATAGCATGAGTCACCTGCCCTGTGATGATTCCACTTGGAGCTTGGCAGCCTCATCCCTAGATGGCAGTGAATTCACTGAGGTGACGGTGGCCCTGTGAGCCTCTGGGTGGCGACTCAGCCGTCTTCCTCCTGGCAGCAGGGAGCCTTGTCATCCCTTTGTCCACACTGAAGAATAGTCCCTCTCCCCCCCAGTCCCTGTTGTGTATCTGGTACTTTAAATACATCCCCTCATTAAGGACCACAAAGTAGGTATCACTTTCCCTGTCTTACAGTCAAGGAAACAAATTAGTGAAGTCAAGGAATTTGCCCCAAAACTTAGAGAATGTAAGTGTGGGTACCTGGATTGAACCCCAGGGCTGTCTGCCTTCATAACCCTGCTTTCTCCTGGACACTGTTTTTTTTTTTCCAAGTGAAATGTTTCCTTGTGAATACTTTGTCTGGATGCTGATGACCATCATCACATGTATTTACCATCGTTACCATCACATGTCTCTCTTCTCCGAGTACATGTTCACAGGCTCCAGAACGTTTGCACCATGTAGAGACATACTACACTAATTACTGGTAGTTCCTTAAAGTAGAAAACATGTTAGTAATTAATATGTATTCTACCAGTTTACAAAATCCCAGATGTTGCCTAAGAAATAACTATTCTCAGGACAAAGTTAAATTAAATGGAAAAGCAATGGAATTAGATTTCATACTTATTAAATTATAGCTCTCATGATCAAATAGTCTGTGGACACTCATTCTCATGCAATGAGATATGAATTATTTAGACAAGTTCACTGAACTCTTGTCAAAGCACATAAATAGAATGCAAGACAACATTTTTGATACTTGTATGTTTAATTAATACACTTGCTAATAATAATATTTTGGAGTATACAGTGAGTAACTCCACAAAACAGAATATCATTTCATTACTTTATATATGAACAATGAACAAATGCTATATTGCAATGAAGGACCAAGCATGAAATGCTGAAATAGTAGCTGCAGTGATTAGGAAAACCTCTAAGTTCTTTGAAATCCTGGACAAATTAAACTCATATTTCTTCTTATAAGATCCTTAGCTGTATTTAGTATCTAATATGTATGATGTAAGAATTTCCAAGAAATGCTCACATATGAGACCAGTAAGCAGTTCTAATAGCTGCATTTTTTTTTTTTTCTGATTATGAAAAAAAGGAACATATAATCATTGCAAAAGCGAGATTTGAAACTACAGGAAATATAAAGAAAAAACATGATCTATATATACAGACTACCCAGATATAACCCACACAGCTTATATATATACTTATTTTTGTTAATCCTCACCTGAGTATATTTTTTCCATTGATTTTTAGAGGGAGCGGAAGGGAAGGTTGCATGGGGGTAGTTATAGGGGGAGAGAGAGAAACATTGGAAACATTGGTGTGAGAGAGATATCGGTTGGTTGCCTCCTGCATGCTTACACTGTGGCTGGAGATTGAACCTGCAACTCAAGTATGTGCCTTTGATCAGGAATCAAACCCGCGACCCTTCGGTGTATGGGCCGATGCTCTAACCACTGAACAACACCAATCAGGGATCCCCAATATATTTGTGTAGATTAAGATATATAACTCTTGTTCACATACCTCATTAGCCTATGAATAAAATAAAATTTTATTAACGTTTGTATCTAAAACACATTGACCTTGACTTCTCTTTTGTTTATGGGCTCTTTTAAATTCTCGTACAAAACTTTATAATTTTACAAAATCCCATCTAACATCCTTTTAACATTATGATTTCTGGTTTTGATGTTATCTTTGGAATGAATATCTCCATTTCAAACACTCACCTACCATGTTTCTTATACTTAAATAGTTTTAATCCAGCTAGAATTTATTTTCCTGTAGATTATGAGGTTGGAATAACTTTATTTTTTACTGATGGTGAGCCAGTTGCCTCAACAAGATTTATCGATTAATTCATTCTTTCCCTCGCTGATTTAAAAGTCTTCTTGATCCCATACATATTTCTCACTTATTCTCTGGTCCTCCATTTGTGGCTTCTGTCTAGTCCATGAATCTGCCGTTCCCGTGCCCGTATCATCCTCATTTAATCCCTCTAGGTTTTTAATATATCAGGATATCTCATAAGGCAAGAGCTGTTGTTATTCTTCTTTTGAGAAACTGTCTTGGTTTTTTACTCCATGGACACAATTATTTATTTTTATTGTTTTTATTCCGTGGCTTGTGATCATCTGAGTTAAAAATAAATAAATCAACTCTTGTGTTCTACAGAGCAGACCGAATGTAATATCCCCTTTGCCTCTTGGTTGAATTGCCAGAGATTTGTCTCTTTTATTGGTCGGTTCAAGGTCCCAGCACAGTGCATGTTGCCCATGAATTCCTTTGGGCCTGTCACACTTACAAAGGTTCGTGTGACAGAGTCAGCACTGTCCGGATCCAATCGCTAACACCACCTCTTCAGTACATAAGCTGCCTTTGAATCATTTATTCATGAACAGGGAACCCTGACTAGTGTTTTCCTCTAATGCAAGCTAGAAAATTGTCATTATATTTTTTAAAACCACAGCTTTTTCTTTCAAGAAGACTGAATGGAAAAAAAAAAATCAAA